TCTCTCTCTCTCTCTCTCTCTCTCTCTCTTTCTCTCTCTCTCTCTCTCTCTTGCTCGCACCCTTGCGTTGGACGCAGGGGGAACGCGTTTGTCGCGTTGACGCGTTCGGGCTCGCGCGGCAAATGAGGTGCGGCCGAACTGAACGGCATTTTTATGTAGCCGTTCCCCCGTTCCCCCAGCAGGTTGTCCAGCCCCGGTACCCCGTGGAAGCCCTGCTTGACGTCGGGCCAATATCACGCGGGTTTTTCATTTAAAAAAAATAAAAAAAATTGAATGCATGAGGCGATACCCGACAAGGGTCCCCACCACCCCACACCTTCAGAAACCCCGAACCCCTCGCCCAAACGCGCGAAAACCCGGTTCGCGGACCCCGTTAATTCGCGTCCAACACGCATTTTAACGGGAGTTTAACATGAATTTAATGCGCGTTAAATTATTTAACGCGGAGCCCACGTTAAATCCAGTTTCGGACACACAGGTGGATGGGGGGGGCGAGGGGGGTCTCGGGTGGGGGTTGCGATGGCAGCGACTGGTGAAGGGGAGGGGCGTGAGGGCCGCAGTGGATTGTGGATAATACACTAGATAAAATCCAGTTGCAGAGTGTCGTCAACGATGTCTGTGTCCTGCCCCTCACCCTGGCTCAGCAGTACTAGCTGGGGAGTTTTTTGGGGGATTGTGAAGTCCCTGGCTGGCCTTAGGGGCCACGGGCGATCTCTGGGAGGCCATAGGCCCCATTTGAGGTTGTGCTGCATGTCCATGTCCGCTATGTTTCGCTGCGGGTCAAGTCGTGTGTCCTTGAATGTCTTGATCTCATTGTCCCTTTGTTGTTGGTCTGTGATAGAGGTCAGTGACTCCCAGAGTGCCTTCCATGCTTTTGTGATATTGGCCCGAATGGTCTGTGTGATTTCTATTTTGGCTTCAGGTAGACCAAATGTGTGTTCGTGGCGCTCAAAGGCGCATCTTGCTCTCCATATAGTCATCAGGACAGGTAGTCTTGTGGTGTGGTACAGTTTATATTCAAATGTTGCCCAGTCCATAGTTGTGAGCGATGGAGATCCAAGCAGGAGTGCGCTAGGGTGCCATGGGAGGTCTTTTCCAGTTAGGGACCTCCAGGCAGCATCCCACCATCTCCATATCTGTTGTGCCATAGGGCACTCCAGTAGGCAGTGTTCCAGGTCCGCACAAACAGATGCCTTCTGCAATGTGAAGACGCCGTAATGAAAATGACCAAGAAAAAGAAAAAGGAAATCTTTTCTTGGGGGGGGTAACTTCAGTAGAGTCACAAAAACGAGGGAGTGAGGCGGAGGGTGGAATGCGTTGCTCACTCCCGGTCATACCGAGGGCGTGGCTGCCCGCCATAGCCACAAGGTTGGGCGAGGTTGGTCTGGGAGTCTTTGGTGTATGGGCGCTTATGATTGGCGCCTTCCAATATGACTCACCCGGGAGAGCGTAGGGTTGGAAGGATAGAATGACACGCGGAAGTTTTACATGGTGACCCTGTGTATGTACTCTTAATAGTTTGGAAGCCGAGAAGAAGGGAACGAGGGGGGCGTGGGCGATCGAGCCTAGTCGTGAAAACAATCATCACTCTCACGATTGCACTCGGCAGACATCACTATGGAGGAGAAAATTTGTTGATCGCGCATGATCGTCATAACAGGCCCGCCATAGCCACGAGGCTGAGCGAGGTTGGTCTAGGAGTCTTTGGTGTATGGGCGCTTATGATTGGCGTCTTTCAATATGATGCACCAGGGGGAGCATAGGGTTGGAAGGATAGATTGACACGTGGAATCTTTACATGGTGGCCCTGTGTACATACTCTCGATAATTCGGAAGCCGAGAAGAAGGGAACAAGGGGTGGGCGATCGAGCCCAATCATCAAAACATCATCACTCTCACGATTGCACTCGGCACGCATGATCGTCATAACAAACCACGAAGCTGCACGACGTTTTGTCTTCGACAACAGGGCTGCCTGCCATAGCCTCGACACAGATGGAGTTGGGTACACAGCCCCAACCTTGTGGAAGATTTGCTCGTCATGTATTGCCAAAATATTGTGTATCGGGTCTACCTGACAAGAGCAATCGTTGGCCTCGTGATTGCACTGGTCGGACATTGTTTCGGAGGGGGAATGTGCCGCTTGCGCTAATCGACTCTCACGATTGCACTGGGCAGGCATCACTGTGAACTTCAAGGAGAAAATGCGCTGATCACGCATGGTCGTCAAAACAGGCCACGTGGCTGGGCGACGTTTTGTCTTCGACAGTGCGGCTACCTTCTATAGCATTGAGATGGACGGAGTTGGGTACACAGTCCCAGTCTTGTGGAAGATTGGCTCGTTGTCTACTACAAGAGCGGTCGCTGCCGAGGGGAGGACGTGTTGGGCCTCGTGATTGCACCAAGCGGACATCGCTGAAGAAAGGGAATGCGCTGTATGCCATAGCCACAAGGCTGGGCGACGTTTTGTCTGGGTGAGATCGAAGGTGCGAATATTTGTCACAGCTACGATGCTATGAGTGGATGTGTGCATATGATTGGTGTTTCATATGCTGTCCATAGCCACGAGACTGGAAATGAATGGTATCCATATCAAGATTGTGGAATACAGAATGTTCTGAACGTTGCTATAACAGAGGAGCGGAGGGAGAATATAGGTGGATACTAGGGATTGACACGTCGAACCTTTATTTATTTATTTTATTTGTTTTTTTTTGCCACATATATATTTCAGCCTTTTAAAACAGTGCATGTGAAAGGGCATCAGGCAGTCAGACACTCACCCTGAAGGAACGAAGGGTGGGGGAGAAAATAAGGGATCAATACGAGGAAGCCCGTCGAGGGCTGATTGGGTATAAGGGAGTGGTTGTTCGCCAAGTGTGACTGGAGGCAATCACACTTTGATTCTTCAATACTGCTCATCCAAAAGAGAGAAGGGGGAGGGGGAGGAATGTAAGAGATATCGTGAAGGCAATCACACTTTGATTCTTCAATACTTCTCACCCAGAAGAGAGAAGGGTGAGGGGGAGGAATGTAAGAGATATTCTGAATCTTCAAACTCGCTCACCCAAAGGACAGAAGTGTGAGGGGGACGAGGTTAAGAAGTACTCAAGATTGATACATGGAAACGTAGCATGTCAGGATAATGTGTAGTATACGGAGAATTGTAAGAGGGAGGAGGTTGGCCGGTGATAACTTCTTAGCACCTGAAGAAGCGGGCTGGAGGTGGTGAAGAAGGCAAGAACAAGGAGACAGGTTTGGGGAAAGGAGAGAAAAACTACAGCGATACAGCAGATAGACAACGTCATTTATGAAGCATGGCTATAATAGATCTCATCATTAGACGAACGCACTCAACATTTGAAGAGCGGCATTGTTGAAGTGAAGGGCTTCTATCCCTACTCCTCTTAATTGGTCATTTCCCTTATCCATTACCATCCGTCTTGTCTGCTCTCCCCATCAAAAAAAAAAAAAAAAAAAAAAAAAAAAAAAAAAAAAAAAAAAAAAAAAAAAAAAAAAAAAAAAAAAAAAAAAATTTCTTAAAAAAAAAAAAAAAAACAAAAAAAAAAAAAAAAAAAAAAAAAAAAAAGACAAGAAAAAAAGGTGAAAGGAGTACTTTCAGACATGAAGATGCCTCATTTAATGAAAAATCAAAGGAGTAAGAGGCAAGTAGACTCCCTGTTCATGTTCAAAGGAGGAATGAGGCATGTTGCCTCAAAACAGCTGCATACGCCAATCAAAACAATTATGCGATCCAAGATTAAACAACATGCCTCATTGGTTCACTCTGATGGGAGATCAGATGATGAGGTACTCACACAAGAAGAGAGGCATCAAGAAAGGAACCAACTCATCAAGGAATCCACAGGGTTAGGTAATATGCAGGTAGTGCAAATGAGCACTTGATGTCTCTCACAATGACACAACAAAATGCTACAATGCTGAGGGGACAGGGCTTCAGGTTGTCTCCTATGGCGTCCCATCTATCCTCAAGAGTAAGGCAAGGAAATTGCAATCT